CATCCAAGTGGTGTTTGTCACAAAAAATTCCTCCTACCGGGGAGGGTGATTTTTTTTTTTTTAAAAAAAAAGATTTTAAAGTGATCTCTTTTTGGATGAAATTATGAAAATTTAGCGCACCATATTGAAAATTTTCAAATTCAAATTTTTTTTAGCGTATGGTTCCCAAAATGATTGTATCAAGTATGAACAAACATGAGTATAAGTATATTTTTTCAAAGAGAAAAAAAAAAATTGAAGCAGGCTCTGAAGTCAGAACGAGGAGCGTTAGATCAACAGACGCCGTTATTGAAAAGTTTGACCCCTCTCACTCTGCAATACTCTTCATCTTCTGAGCAGACTCTCTTTTGAGCTGCTTCGCTCAGACGTTCACCAAAAATCGAAATCTTTCATCGTAATCAACACTCAGACCACCTGCAGAGAAAGCAAGCTAGCTCCTCTTCTGCTCATGTTCTGTGGGTACGCACAAGTCATCACGGTGTCTTCTGATTTCTAATTAATTTCTCTTTTGAGTTCTTTGTGTAATTATTTGATGCTGACGCAGCTTTATATTCTGATATATCCCTCCCGTGAAGCAATGGTTTTTGCAGACAAATGTCAAGTTCATGACTTGATTCAGTAGAGTTTTACTTCAATGCTTCAGCTTATTAAGGAAAAGGTAAAATGGACAAAGACTGAACAAACGAAAAAAAAAATTATGGCATTTTATGTTCCCTTAAACATATAGGCAGGGATTCTCTTCTGGCCATGTTTTGAGTATATAAGCATGAGCCGTCACTTCTTTTTACATCATTTCTCTCGTGAGTTGTTATAATATTCGATATTGAAGTAGCTAGCTTAATCATATGTATATGTTTACATGCATGATTCTGAATCCTGCAATCAATCATAGCACTGGCTGATGCAAAGAAATGTCAAGTTCATGACTTCAACTCAGGAGACTCTAAGAACCTGAAGCCGCTTCGTAACTGATGGAGAAAAGAAGAGTAAAATAATGGAAATGCGGTTGAACACTGGTAAGTGATTTTGGCTTCTTATTTTGTGTCAAAAGTACTCGTATACGTTATTTATGATTAACTGCCTCCTAATTATGTCGAACTGAAAGTATGCAAGTGGTTACTAATTTCAACTCTACAGCACCTAAAATAAGGTAGAAACATCTAAGTAATAACTAGGTTACTTCTAAGTAACTTCATAGTCTAGAAGGACGTACGTACATTCAAACTTAACCCCCACAACAACTCTTTCCAACTTTAATGACCTTTGGAAGTGACAATGACGACTACGATATTATTATTGAATAAATTCAAAGTAGGAAATTAAAGGTGCAAAAATAGGAGGAGGGCTACCCGAAATGTTTTCTATTTCGATTTGTTAATATAAAAATAAAATTCTCATATTGTAGGAAATCAGGTGCTCACATTTTGATTTTATAAGTGAATAGATGCTCGTCTTTAGTTTTTTTGGGTGAAAGATTGAATACCATTGAATCAGAAAGTCGCAAGTCATCACTCTTTTCATTTAATTCCTCTTGTGAATTGTGATAGATATGATGTTGAAAGGCCTTTTATATACATATACAAATAACATACATATATATAGAAGGTGGGGTTAATTAAAAGGTGGCTAAATTACCTTTGTGGGATTCTACTCACCGAATTTATATACAAAGAGCTTGATGCTAGCTAGCTTGACACTGGGTTTTACAGGAAAAGAATGTCAAGTTGACGTTTTTACTCAGGAGATTACTACTTGATCGATGTTAGCTGCGTAGTATTACCCATATCATGCTAAAAGGGGAGAACCAAGAAAGTTGAACAATCCAAACGCTTGATGACTAGTAAGTGATCCATATTTTACTTGATTCAACAAGTCATATTTTCTCTTCTATAACTATATTTGCCTTAATCGGATGTGCTGCATTGCATCAGGCATGCATGAATTAACCAAAAATAATAACCATAAATTAAATGCACTTATTTGTATTAAAACTGATTCAAGAAAAATTTTGGCATAGCAAGAACATCTTCGACAAACATATCTAAATTAGTGGCAAGATATGAGCATCACCCTCTGTGTTTGGTTTGAGGGGAAGGGAGGGGATGGGTTATATGTTATATAAATTAATTTACCCCTTCATTCAAATTGCATGGTTTATTAAAATTCATTCTCATCCCAACATGTTATTTGCATAAAAAAATTGGTATAATGTTTTTTTATTTATAATCAATATAATAATTTATTTCAAGAATAGAATATCACAAAAATTATGAGAGCATAATGTCAAGAAATTTTTTTATTTCTATGTTAAATTAATCTGTCACTTCTGTCTGGAGGAGTTTATTTTTTTCATGGGCAGTAATGAAATATTGCAAACATTGTAATGGTCTGTTTGTTTTGAAGAGAGGGTAGGGGAATGGACGAAAAATGCTCCCCTTCCCCCATTTGGCTAGAATCCTTGAAGGAAATCCTTTTTCTAACCCCATTTTAGCTCCCTTCTAAGTTGAGATTTTTTGGAGTAGAACTAAATTTTAGACCAATTTACCCTCATATTTTTTTGCGATATTTTATTAATACCTATGAAATATATTATTATAAAATTAACTTGAAATAAATAATATATTATAATAAAACTTAATTTAAAATAGAAAATATGATTACAATAAAAAATTATATTATTATAAAATTAATTAATTTTTACACATGGATTATTTTATTAATTAAAATATGTATTAAAGGTGGAAGGAAAATCACAGCTAAAAGAGAACAAAGATTCGGTTTTTTTAAGCAAATAAAATTTGCTAATTTGATTATTCAAAATATATTATTTTATTAATTAGAATGAAAAGCCACTGCAGCAATTTTTTAATACATATAGTAACGTGAGAAAACTAAATTTTTATTAAATTATGTAATTTGAATTAAGATGTAAATTAATTTACATAAGCTATAGATAAAATATAAACTATTAAGTAAGGATAAAGTGGTAAATTAATTATTACTACTCCTTCTCTCTCTCTCTCTTGAGCTAGACGAGAGATCATTAGATGTCCCTTTCTCTCCTCCTTTCTAGCAAAACAAACAAAATAATAGTCATTTAGTTCTAAATGTAAAACCAACTTTATAATGTAATTTATATTATAAAATATTATTCCCTTCCTCCTATCTTCCCTTCAAACCAAACAGGTCCTAAAAAAAGGCCCATTTAATATTCAAGTTTCCCAACACGAGTTCAAATTTTGCGTGACTTATGATTCATTTGGAGAGGCCAAATCTTGAGACTTAGGGTTATTTTGGTAAGAGGGAAAATGAGAGGATGGGAGGGAAGAAAAAATTTTAATAAGCTCAATTTGAAAAATTAAAAAAATGAGATTAAAAGCTTTTAATTAATTTTTATTACTCTTTTATATTACTTCTTTTCTTTATTAAAATTTCAAAATCCCACTTCTCTGATTTTTTAAATAGAGCTTAGTAAAATTTTTCTTCTCCTCCCCTCCCCTCTATTTCCCTGTACTAGTACTTTAAAGCCGTTCCTCGAGCATATCAGGTTAGGCTACAAAGACTGTCTATATGCTGTGATCAACCCTTGTAGTTCCAAGCAACAAATCACAATATGAATATTATTGTTTTATCCGATCTTATAATTATAGTTATTTCGTACAAACATGTTTTAATTAAGCATATATTAACCAGAACCTTTTAGTAACAGGACAAAATTTAAGCCTATTTGTTTATATCTATTAGCTCCAATTCTCCAATTAAATATTTCCATTTAAGATTTCGACTAAGGAAAAAAAACAATAAAACACCCTGAAAATTACTAAACGACAAATCAGTGCAGGTGAATTTCAAAATGCCCACTCGAATCCCTTATACTATTTTAAAATTTTCATATCTTACAAAATTACACAAATGCTCTTCACTATTTTTTTTTCCTCGATATTGCCGCCTTAGCACTCTTAGCCGATTTCCAATCGCCAGAGCTTTTTAGTAGCAGTGACCTCCTTGTGGGTAGCTGCCAGAGTTCTGTTGACTATTCTTTTTTATGTATTGACTATTTTTTTTAGCTATTGACTATATTTATTTTTAGAACCCGTATAACCTCTTTTATTTAGCTACTGATTACTCTAGTATTGCGATTGACTACTTTTATTTTTAAAAATTTGGTGGCTACTCTTATTTAGCTATTGATTATTTTAGTTTCACTATTGACTACTTTGTTTTAAAAACTCAAAAAATGCATTAAGTATTATTGAAGATCTAGTGACTAATTTTTGTTTAGTTATTTATTACTCTTGTGTAGTCAATAGTTATAAAAAGAAGTCACCAAAATTTTAAAAACAAAAATAGTTAATAGTTAAACTAAAGTAGTTAATTAATAGCTATATAAAAGTAACCACTTTGAGTAAGGGTAATATTGTTATTTTATAATATTTTAAAATTTCAAAATAGTACAAGAGGTCATATTTGAGATTTTAAAATTTAGCCACTTTCATTTGTTCTTTAGCATTTTTTTGAGAATATTTTAGTGTCTTTTTCGCTTACTATTGATGACGGTTACCAAAATTTTAAAATTTTATCTGTATAAATTTTAAAAAAAATCATGTGCTAAGATTTGATTAAGAAGTGTGCTTTTTTGTTGATATTATCTGTACTACCAATACCAATGTGTGAATTATTCAAGCAGGCAACTTGCTCCCGCGGGGGGGGGGGGGGCGGAGGAGCGAAGAGTGTGATTGTTGTCTGCTGAATCACTTTTAAGAAAATAATAACACCTACTAGTTAAGAATTTTTTTAAATAAAAAAAAGGAAATAAACAAATTCATAAGATAAATATGAACAAGATGAAATTCAAGTGCCAGCTTATAAAACATGATTGATGTCTTAACAACATGGTTTAAAAAGATTTTTAAAATGAATGATTATATCCACCTTGTTGCATTAATAATATTCTCTGATAACATTTCTTGAACAGTTCCCCGCAGGCTTTAAGGTTTTCAATGTCTGGGGTAGAGATAGCTGGGATACTTGTTCCTGCGGCCGTAAGTCTTGCCACACCTGTTGTGGCATTTCTCTTCTCCAAAGTTAAACAAGGCTCAATTTCGCTTGATGACACACATCAAGTGCTGAATTTTGGACTGGAAGGGCTAGTTGCTCTGAGAAAGGTTATAAACAATGAAATTTCGGGCAATATTATACAGAAAGTTCCGCTTAGAGTTTACAACAATTGGAAGGAGCGTGTATCAAATATTGAGAACCAGGTGGCGTCCTTGAATAAAGAATATGAAGAAGTAAGGGGGAAAAAATGGAATATTAGTAGGAAAAGTGATCTTCTAAGTGAGATGAAAAAGGCAGTCAATGAAGTTGTGAGCATTCTTGGAGAATGTACACAGGAGATTCTAATTGATAAGCCACGAGAGCTTGCCATAGAGGAGAAAGGTGTTCCGCCAATTCGGGGGTATCTGCCTCTTGAGAATGCCTTTCAAAAGATTCTGACGCTGCTACAAAATGACAGAGTAAAATGCGTGGCACTTCATGGACAAAAAGGGGTTGGGAAAACAACAATAATGCGACACTTAAATAACCACTTCTATGATAGCGTTGGCAAGTTCTTTGATATGGTGATTTTCATCAAAGTGCCGACTGATGATAAGCAGACTGATCCACAGACTGAAGACCTTCATGTTCTGTGCAAAATTGCGGATCGAATAAAGGTGGATAGAGAAGGTGATGAATCTGAAGTTTCTGGAAGAATACAGCAAGTGCTGGAGAACACACGATATTTGCTGATTTTAGATGGCATAAGGTGCACACCTGATGGGATTTGGGAAAAGCTGGATATTTCAAAAGGCAATAGTAAGGTAGTAATAACCACTGATAATCCTCTTGCTTTCAAGTCAAAATATGTTGACAGGAATGTCCCGCTTCAACCATTACACCCTGATGAAGCATGGAAGATGTTTCGAAATGTTATTGGTGACAATCTCATACAAGACATACCAAACGCTCGACGAATATGTAATAGGTTCTGCTCTTGCCTTCCCCTCCTTATATATCCTATTGCAAGTTCTTTTAAATGTCGACAGGCTTCCACTGATTGGCAGAGTGTTTTGGATGAATGTACGTCTTGGGCTCAACTTGGAGTTGATGGTTTAGAAGAGTTATACGAAAACTTGAAAATTTGTTACAAAAGCCTCCCTAATCAAAGTGACCGAAAATGCTTCCATTATGCTTCACTATATCCTGCAAACAGCAAGATATACACACGTTACTTAGTGGAGTGCTGTATAGTTCTGGGTCTTGTTGGTGACGTTGATGCAAATACTGACTACAAGGCATTGCGCAGTCGAGTTATTGATGTGACGTTGAGGCGCCTTGTTAACTTCGCATTCTTGGAAGAAGGGGGAAAAATGAGGTATGTCACCATGAATGATTTTTATAGGCAATTTGCTATTTATATGTCATCCAAAGATTCAACTTCAGAATGTAGATCTTACGTTGATAATGAAGAGGAGCAGGCCTTTAGATCAGCATCACAGCATCATACATGGGTCTCTAGGATTGGCAGTAGATGGAATAGTCCACCAACAAACCAAAATTTTGCGAGTCTTCAGATACTATTGCTTCAAAAGAATCTAAAGTTGGATCAAATCCCACCGGAATATTTTGATGGCATGGGCAATCTTCTTGTGTTAAACTTATATGGTACTAAATTAAGGAGGTTACCATCTTTGTCAGGATTAACTAAGCTCAAGGCATTCTATCTAAATGATTGTTCAGACTTGGAAATCGAGTCATCTGAGATCCAGCCACTTAAAAATCTCGAGGTGTTTGACATTCGAGGCGCTAGAATCAATTCTATGCCACGTTTGGAAAGATTATGGTGCTTAAGAATATCATATGATGAAGGCGGTGATTACTCTGGAATTTCAGAGCTTCACAATTTAGAAGAACTGATGGTTGAAATTGAAAAGCAATTCATACAACAATGGTTTAATGGTGGTGAAAATGATATGACAAATGCCACTTCATCTTTGGAAAAGCTGAGAATTTATTTACCCTATTCGAAGCAATTTGGGGTGGCCTCATCATAATGTTCACAAGCAATTTCAATATGCGTTTCCAGCTTGTACCTAATATTTCCTTTATGCTTCTGATGCTCATAATGATCGATGTTGGTGTCAAAAGTAAAACACTTGTTTGTTCTAGTGTGATGCGGATGATTTGAATGTTTCCTTTTGCTCATAATACATAATGTGTAATGGAGGGCCTAAGAAGTATGTTTTGATGTACTTTCAAGTGATGGTTTGCTGTAAAATCTCCCAAAATACTGTCATCCCTGATATCTGTTTTAATGTTTACTAGAAGTTATTTTGGGTAATCCTTTTCCGTTTCACAGGGAGATGAACTTGGTTTGAACTCAGCCTCATTTTCAGGATGCCACATGCTTTAGTCTGCGGGTTAATTTCTTATTTTGGGTCGTTTTATTTATGGTTGCTTTTCAACTAAGCAAGCATGAAATTGTCAGCATCCATCGATCAGGTTATTGCAGCCCACGCGCCATCAGTGAGTTCTATGCTAATATGCTTTAATTTTTGTCCTCCAACTCCCCACTGACGTGAGATCCAAATCACATCCCATATATGTTAAAAGCATTAAAAAGAAAAACCTCCAAATAATCTTGGATCGTGTATTAACTATTAAATCCTATTACAAGTCCGCGGAACAAATGCAAAAAGTTCCGTGTTCATAATAACTTGCATGGATGTTTCATGCTGAAAACTTCGAAGCCCCTTTTTTTACCAAAGCACGGCTCCATCCCAATTACAGAGAGCACCTCAGGCAGAGGAAGAATTCGAGAAGATGCAAAAATCGGTGCGGAGAGGAAGAATTCCAGTGACTCAGAAACTCAAACCGTTCATTGAGTTGCAGAAATCGGCGAACCACATTGAAACCCACAGAGGAATGAGGATTGTAGATGAGTCTGGCCGTCTTGTTCAAGGACTCGAACGAAATGAGGATTGCATCTCATCATGGTTTAATTTCATGACGTCGGTTCGTATTTATGGACCATTGATGGGATCGAAGGAGTTCTATTTTGACACGAAGGGGCACAGGATCCAGATCCGATTATGGTGCTGTCAGTACTAACATCAACAATCATTTACAACTGAGGTCAGGCACTCACATTTCTTATACTCTATTCCTTCAATATCTTCATTAACTTTACGCCTGCTCTGCTACAATTTACTGTCATAAGCTCTGCTTTTAACTGCGAAATCATTAGAATCTGAATGGTCGTCGAAAGTAGAGACTCTTTCACAGGGGTTGCCCCGCTTGAGTCGTCAGCATTCGACTGGGAGTTGGAAATTAAACCACCTTGCAATTACGTATTTGATTGTATATTTTGATTTGCATTTGATAGAATAAGAAGTAATGATTAAGGAAAAAGATAGTCTCGCTCTATAATGTAGAAGTACCTTGATCTATATATGATGACTGCTGAGTGATGAGTCCTGAACTCATTTCATTACATGGCGCAAAAAATAGTCATTATAGGTACTTGATAAAATCACAGAGTGGAATTAATATTGGAGATACAAAGCCCAATATCGGGGAACGAAGGAGAACTCAACCTGGCATGTTTACACTAACTTAACCATCAGTATCCTCATCCTATTCTGCTTTTAGCATTTGGGTGGTCTGAGTACATTCCAGTCTAACTAATCTCCCTTTGGTTTTTTGAAAGACCCCAAACTATTTCTTGGCAATAATTGATCATCGCCATTATCATTCTTAGGCGATTTAGTTGGATTTTGTGCTTCAGACATTGCGTCAGACTGTTTCCTTTTGAGGTCACCGCTAATCTCATTGCTAGTGTTCGCACGGTTTGAACCATCTACTGGAAGTCCATTTTCTCTGAATCCAAATGTAAAATATTGTGTTAGCTAACCAGGCTTAAAACCAGAGATGTAATATTTATCTGGATTTTGGGATTAAATTACAACTATTGATGGAGAATCATCAAATCCTTTGGTTTTTTTGGTTTGTTTGTTTATTTTAGAGATGGGGTTGGGAGGCAGACCACCCCAACGAAACTAGACACTGAGAAACGAGTAACCACCTAATAGAAATATTTCCGCTTTGATTCCTAGAACTTGATGTTTGAGCTGCTGGCTGATGGAGCCCTGCATCTTCTTCGTTGCGTCCCTATATAGGCAAGAATTTTCCATAAGAAAATGAAACAAATGAATAACAAGTAAACATAGGAAACCTTTAAATTCTTGATCTTAATACTCACAGCAATTCGTGGATTAAAACTTTGAAATGACATCTGACCTTTAATTGCTCTTGGATGGGGACCAATTTCCATTATGAAGATGCTGCAGATATTTAGAGAGAATATTGAAAATCAAGAAACAGCTAAAAAGAATGATTCAGAATATGCGGATGTTAGAAACATATCAGAGGCAATTATGGAATTAAGTTGTGAAAAACAAACTTGGTATAGAAAGGATTTATATTGTTCTCTTTAAAAGGAGTTACAGGTAAAATGGCATTAGATGGCATGTCACTAATGATAACTCGTAGGATTTCAAACTAAAGAATTTTTTAACACTAATAACCGAGAGTAGATTTGAGGACGATCATGGAATCCAAACAATTCTATCAGCAAGATTGATATTTATTGATAAAAAGAGTCGACTTAAGACATGTGGAACCATACTGAGCAATGATGAGTCCTAATTTGTGATAAAACAAGCCCTAGCTGACAATAATGTAGTTAGCTAGTAGCCATTACGCCAGTCACAATCTGACATAGAACTTTTGGGTGAAAATTATTTCAGAACTTAGGTAACATGTCAGCACAATCAGACCGTCTATTTCAAGGTGGACATCCAAACTAGTACCAAGAAGGACCAAAAAAATAATGAAAATTACCATTTTCTACTTATTGTGGGAGTTCCAAAAATATGGACATCAGATTTTACTTCATCCTCCTCTTTCTTGGATTTCTCCTCTCTTAGAGCTGCTCTTTGCATGAACTCTTGGAAGAACAAGTATTGGAAATATCACAAACATGAAATCTTGAACCAAGCAATAATAAGGCCAAGACTCAGAAACATCTTACACACACTAGAATCTAATTTGAACAATCCGTTAAAGGAAAAGGGAGGGACCAGTTTGATTCCTATTTTATTTTCAAGTTCTTGAGCGTGCTGGAAAGCTCTCGTTTCGCCATTATGATTTCCAACCTTCCACCAAATGCCTAGATCAAAACCGAAAGCCAAGAACGTAAATTGAAAATTGAAAATTTAGGACCAAATGTCCTAAATAGATATGAAAAGTTGAAAATTTAGCACTTGATTACTTATGTAAGGACAACCCTATGTTCCTATAGTGTCTAACCATATTAACGATGTATGTGATTAACGCATAGATTTCTAAAATTCAATTATCATGGCCATAATTTGATGAGTTAATACTTAGATTACAAATCTATCCATTGATCCTTATTACTCTATTTAAACATATTTATTTACTTGCTATTGAATTTGTGTGAATTGAAATTACAAACAAATGGAAAATTTCTATAACTTATGTTTTCATAGCTTTTCAAGCAAATATATCAAAGGATCCACAACATCCATAGCTAGACAGATTCAACAGGTGAAAATACGTTTTTCAGTCAGGACGCCGAAAATAAAAATAAATTACAGCTTCTCATCTCCATACTAAATAATCACATTACGAACAGTCGTTACTCTGGAATAGTTTGCGAGGACCCGACAAATTCGTAGGGTTGACGAATGCAGGAAAAAAAATGTTTCAGGTTATTAAAAATAACGCTAAGAAAAATGCAGAGACTCTTGGTCAAGAAACAGAGAATGCAGACAAATTGTACGTCAATGTAAAGAAAGTCCAACTGAGAGCACAGAGTAAAGAAGCAATAAGCGAAAGCGAAAAGAACAGAGAAGAAAGTCTTCGAAGCTTTCGAAGCATACCTGACTCACTCTCCTTAGCCTTTCACTAGTTTTGATTTCGGGTGGAAGCTCTTACAAGTTAATGCAGATGCGTGAAATCAACTGAGACATCCCGTGTGAAGCCTGAACTGAGGGGTTTTATTAGTGATTACTGAGATAAATAGCCAATATATGTTGGTCCAAAAAGGTAAATGTCAAAAACTTAGTTGATAAATGTGTTCTTTTGTGATAATATTTTAAAGATAAAATACATGATCATCATAAAAAAAAAACTTAACATAAATGAATATAAGTCAGTGGATATAAGTATTTTGTTATATCAATCTACATGTTGCTATGTATTTCTCTTATCTTATTTATAAGTCGCTTTCAACATGTTTCACACGTACTAAGAAAAATATTAAATTTTATTAACTCTTATTTAAAATTTAACAAGTTTCTAATTTTATCTCTATTTAATATACATTATACCTCATGTAAACAAAGTCAACACAGTAATAAGTTAAGAATAAAATTGTATATCTATATAAAAAATTTTACTCAGTACTCTATAAATAGAACTAAAAAATATTTTTTCTCTATCCTGTAAATCAAAACCAAGAAGTAGTTGATTAGTCATTGATTCGGGCACGGGGGACGAGAGATACCGATGGATATATTTGATTCTTAGATGGGCTCGGGTCATGGACTGCTTTCTTTGATTTTGAACTTTTTATTGTATTATGCAATAGTCCGTTCCCAATTTTAACATTTTGGGTTCAATTGTATCACCCAAAAAAAATTTTGGGGTTCAATTCATGGGCCATTTAAACAAATGAATTCAGCAAAGGTTATTCTCTTACTATTTAATAGTAATTTATTTTTTTGTGCCAAAAAATAATAATAATTTATCTTTGTGGAAATCAATTTACAAAATTTTAAAATAAATCTGTTTATGTGAAAAAAAAGTACTCGTATGTTTTTGCTCCATTACATAAGTTTGACCAAGGCCAATAATTACTTCCGAGTTCAGGTTTTTAGGTTAGTGCCAAATAGGCAATCCTCTGAGGTCCCGTTTGGTATGAAATATTAAAAATGATAGATAGGGATTGAGATTAAAAGTAAAAAACTATATTAAAAGGATGTTTAATATGAGTAATTGTATGATACTTGGGATTAGATAAACCATATATGTAGGATTGGGAAATATCATGAGGGGGTGATATTCTCTAATCCCATGTGATAAGAAATCACTTATACTAAGTATTCTTTTAACATTTGTTTTCAACCCCAATCCTAATTTTTATCTCTTATTTTTCATATTTTGTACCAAACGTAATGTGAAGAGCATGCTCTTCCTAAACTTTCTACATATCTTCGGCAGCTTGAAAACTTTGATCATATTCATTAGTGAATTTGGATCCCTTTACACAGAAATTTTCATCCTTAATTCCATATGTTTAGGTGAAAGTATTGAGATAGTATTTTTTTTAAATAATATATATACACGCTACTTGATGCAAACCTTATACATATTATAAAAGAATTTAACAAATTTTATTGTCATGAACCATAGAAACTAGTTAACAAATTTTAAATAATATATGTACACACTACTTAATGCGGCTTATTTTTCAAATTGTGCGCAATAATGAGAATTTTATTTAAAAAATATATTTGATGTATAACATATTTATATATTTATAATAGATTTAACCTTTGTTTTGGATAAATTGAACCTGTCTTGAAATTATCGGAGCTTGCATTAACCAAATAGAAACTAGAACCAATATTGACATAATGTTAAAACTTTCAATGTACCAGTAACAGAAAGTATCGAGGTGGCCAAAAAAAAAAAACAAAAGAAAAGAAAAGAAAGTATCGAAATGGAGGCGCATATAATATAACATAATGCTGTTTATGACAGTAGTGGATCTTGGAACCTTTACGATGATGAAAACCAGCGAACAAGAAAGCCTAAGAATGGACAACACAACTTTAATCTGTATTCGAGAGGTTATTGAACAAGCAGCCTAGACCTCATGCACAAATTGAATTGTGATATGCCCCTGATTCCTAAGATGAACCTTCAACTACTGAGGTCGCTGCCATGGACCCTGCCTGATCTGCTATGGATATTTCTATCTTCCTCTGGCTTCTTGGCAGTTAAAAAGCTAACAAAATGAGATGGTGATTTCAATGAGAATGGAAGAACCAAGACCTCTTCAGTTATAAGTTGCTGACTTGCAGCAGGTTTTAACATGGAATCATAGCAATGGGACTGACTCAACACGATGAATTGTTGGCGTTTACAAAAGATTGATTTTTCCAGAAAGTACCATAACAAGCGTGACCTAATGAGAATTTTAAAATACATATAGAAGACAATATGGGTATATCATTTCAAACAGATCCTTAGGGGATGTCCGAACAATCTGCTCACCAGTCGATGTTGTCGAAATCGAAGTCGTCAAATTTGTCAAACGTGGAACTATAAATTCCTGGATGACTAGGAAAAGCCAGTTCCATTAGTTCTGGGTCAACACTCGCTGAGGGTTCAATCCCAAGTCCCACAGAAGAAAATGACTCAAGACCTGAATTGGATGTTGACTCGTCCCTCTGATTTATACCGTCATTTAGAGTCGAATTTGTCGCCCAGGGGGCTTCTGAGCAAGTGTCGCCTCTCCTGTAAGTGATTGACTCGTCCCTCTGATTTATACCGTCATTTAGAGTCGAATTTGTCGCCCAGGGGGCTTCTGAGCAAGTGTCGCCTCTCCTGTAAGTGATTGACTCGTCCCTCTGATTTATACCGTCATTTAGAGTCGAATTTGTCGCCCAGGAGGCTTCTGAGCAAGTGTCGCGTCTCCTGTAAGTGATTTTACATATAGTTGAAATAGGGTTAAGCTTACAAAACACATAATTTTTTTTTTGTATAAGCTTATAAATAAACAAAGATACGTGGAATAGAGTCATGCATATATACCTGCTGGTTCGCTTAGCAATATGCTTTTCATTCGCGAATATGCTCAAACCAGAAGGCGGTGACGCTGTAGATTTTAACGATGCCAAGGAATCAAGGGAAACCGTTATGCCATAGATATAAATTTCACTTAGTAAAGGAAAGCAAAAAGAGGTTGTGACATTCACGATGAATAACAAGATATGTTAAAATTACAAATAGATGTAAAATTACCTGGATGATGGCAAATATCATCATCATCATCTACCCCAGATTGAGACCTTAAGTCGACGTGATTGTTCATGGATGATTCTGTTTCCCTGTAGGTTTGTCTGCAAGTGTGATGACCACGGTAGGTGATATTGTAAAGTTCAGGAATATTGTCATCTCTCTGCACTTGTTTCCTAGCTCGGCAATCCTGGCCATGTCTATGAGTGCATCTGTAATATTCTCTACGCATAGACCACAGGGAGCATAAACCAAAAAGAGGCATGTAAATAGCTAGTTTACATTTAGAAAGAGTCATACATAGATGTGAAGTAAGTCATGATTCATGGATAATTGAAAACAGCAGTACCTTGGAAATTTGTAATTAAGAATTTCTTTTTCGCCATATTTTCTCCAACTAAACCCATCGTCAAGAGACGGAGATATTATCGTCCATCTTGCTTCCTTGGTCCTTCCATAATTTAAGAATCGTTTTAGAAAATACAACTACTTTTTGTAAGCCTAAAGAGGTAAGGTAAATGACACATAGTTATGCATAGACATACCCCTTGTACTTGGAGACCCTGCTTCCGGAAGACTGTGGAGGCTCAACCACTATCTCATCTGTTATGATAGACCTCATATCCTCGGAGACCTTGCCACTGGAAGACTTCAGTGGCTCACACACTATCCCCCCTATCGCAATCGCATTTCACAAAGATAGTGATGGATTAAAACAATTGTCATATGGATCATTGATAATTCAGCATATTTGAGGAAGTAAATGAGGTTATGACAACGCAGTAGCAATAAAAAAATTAAATTAAATTAAAATCAAATATCAGTTAGATTTACCTGGACAGTCATCAATATCATCATCCAACTCTAGTTGACTCATAATATCATCCTGTTTATTAATTGGAGAAAAGATGCAATCAAAAACAGATGGTCGGCCAACTGTTCCCCATTCTGCTTCACTCCACATCAATGCTTTCCACCACTTGGCTTCTCCTTTGATGGCTTTCAAATTCTGACTTGACAGTTCCATTTTTGAAAGCCTCTGAAGTTTTGGGCAATTATAAATTCCTATGTTTTCTAAACTTGGACCCATGTGTAATCCATTAGAAATGCTGATCAATTCAGGAAGATGGAGAAGTGCTATTGTTCTTAATTTTGGGAGGAAAGTGCCTGCTCCAGGTTTGGTTGGTCCATAAGTTATTAAAGCACCTATTTTTGGACAATCTTTAACTACAAGCATCTTCAAGAGTGAAAGGTTGCCCAGAAAATCCAAGGTGAAAACAGTTGTTAACTTAGAACAATTGTGCAATGCTAAGGTCTTCAACATACCAAAGCTGTGACTGGAATGAACTTCTCCTTCACAAATGCTTCTTAGATTCTTCATGTATGATACCCTCAACACTAGCAAACGGGGAAGTATATCTTTACTGCTCGAGCATCTTCCATCAACAATTGTTTGCATCTCCTTACATTCAGCCAATATACACACCTGTAATTGCTCTATACTCGTCATGCCAAATTTTGAGAGATCCTTGATGGTCATGTGTCTGTCTAAAAATAAAGCCTTGCTATGTCTAACAACACTTGTTATTTCATAAGGGACATCAACACCTTTCACAAACTTTACGCTGCACTCACTTTGTTTAAATTTTTCTTCAACTGTGGGCAATGCACCTGAAATGATCCTTGACATATGTCTGCCAACAATGAATCTAAAATCAAGCTCAAAAATGCGTGCAGGCATGAGATTTAAAAGTTCTAGTGCTGGAATATACAAACTAATTGTTTGCAAGCATTCTAATGCCCAGAGTTCTGGTAGAATGACTTGCAAATTCTCTTCCCATCGCTCATCATCGGGGTTTACATCAATGCTCAAATGTTTTAGGCCTTTAAGCTTTGAAATCACCCCAGAAGGAATAACTGCTGAGCTCGTATATTCTTTACTTTTCTTGCCACGATACTCGTACAAAGAAAGAGTCAAACTTTGGAGATTGGTTAGTTCCTGGATCTCCTTTGGCAAATGTATAATCTGAGTCTTGTCAAGATCAATCTTCTCTAGATTCTTCAATTTCCTAACCTCTGAGGATAGTTTCATGAAGCATTCACAAGATTTCATATGGAGTTCCCTAAGTTGCTCCAACTCAAAAAAGGAGTTCGGTAATTCTCTAATGCTAGTGTAGGACAAATCCAAGACGCAAAGCTGAGGCATTTTAAAGAAGAAATGAGGGGGAATTTTTGTCAAATCAGCATTGTTGTGCAGCTTCAACACTTTGAGTTCATGACAATTCGGGGAAAAAGGTAGCTCAGATAGCTTATTGTCTGCCAAGTCAATATATATAGCAGTATGCCATAGCTCACTCTTTGGTGGTTCAACCAACCCTAACTCAGATTTTTTCAAGAACCGAGGATTCTGAGTGTTTAATAATTGCAAGATATCATATAAGTCTCGTGGAATTTGAATGTGCCTTGGCTTCTTGTCCTCTGATTGCAATAAGGCAAAACGCTCCACAAGCTCTGTCAGATTATGCTTTGCTTCTCCAGCACCCACTAATTGAGAAGAAATCCAATAATTTATCAACTCATTTTCTGGCTTCCAAAATTTAGAAACGAATAAACATGATGTAAGACAACATTTTTGTGTCTCACTTAAATCAAGCCAGATGAAGTTTATGAATGCTTTATGTAAGACGCTGCTTTGGCCTCGAAACATACCAATGTCATAGCAATGATGAAGCGAACTCAATTTGACCAGAGCATGTTTCCATTGTGAAACACATTTTGCATTCCTTAGTGATCTTGCCACAATGACACAGGCAAGAAGATGAGCACCACATTCTTTAACTATACGCACAGCCATTCTCGCATGAGATGATGGTAAAATCGGAATTCCGATGTTTGCACAGAAAACTTCCCATGGCAATAAGTGATCCGTTGTGTTGATATTCAGATCCATTGCCACTGTTAAGTCACTATTGGCCTGCTTCGAAGATTCAGTGGTAATGCACACCACAACTCCTGCAAGTTCTTCAGGAAAACCCGCTTTCCTAGGATCAAGAGGCTTTTTGGCTTCTCCATCCACCAAAAGCACCAAGTATTTTTTTCTTGACATCTCTTTCTCAATACTTGCTTTAAGCAAATCGTCATTGCCTTCTATCAGTGGAAGATGAAGTTGTTGAGCTATCTGCTGTTGAACATGGATCTCCGCAGTAGGACCTTGGTAATCTGAGGTGTCAATGAGTAAGATTCTGGAGAAGGTTTCATGAAGGCGAAGCATAATTTCCTTGTCTTTCAAGGCTGATTCTATTTTTTCCTTAACTAGTCTTTTTTCAGCTGCATCTCTCGCAGAGAACTGGACATGGTGAATGTTTCGTACATGATCATCCTTAGACAATAAAGTTTGAACCAATTGATCCACAGCAAGATTCGCAGATAAATTGAGAATGTCTTCTGGTGTCCCGTTGGAATAAGCATAGTTGGGACTCCAACCACTTTCCACGCTCTTTAATATGTGCATTGGTAAAAGGCCTTGGAAGCATTCAAGAGGCTTCTGACTGACAAGGCGATCCAAATCATCCAGAGAATGTCTCCTACTTGAAGCTTCTTGAATCCAAGCCTTAAGTTTGCTATGGTGCACTGTTCTCATGGGATAATTCAACAGTAGCCTGATAAAATCTCTTATCCGGCTCACTTTTAGCAGCAATCTAGACATCGGTCCACTTAGTGGAATACCAAACTGCTCAAGTGCTTTGGCTTTGGAAGAGTAATGTCGATTTGTTTCTATCCTGCGAGGATTTGGCAGTTTTAATTTGGGAAGACTGAATGGGTTCACAAGTGGCACCACTTTTTCTCCTTTGGTAAAATCAAAGGTTTCCGTCGTTTCTATTTCCTCCAGTTCAGCAGATGGATCCAGAGCTTGTTTTGTAGATGGCTCCATTTTGGTGACTGCATGTGCTTTGATATCGTTAGAATCCATTTGCTCATGGCTTCCCTCCATAGAAACTCCAGAGAGAAAATATTTCCCGCATAATGACAGGAAAAAAATGTCATCCCAAAAAAAGTAATTTGAACATAATCAATCAATTCATCGGACAGCCTCCTTATTTGTCTTTATCTAAAACTCTAAAAAAAATCGGTTTTTTAACCAAATAAGAAATCAGTTTGTTCGACATGATGATTTATAACATTGTAAGTTTTTTTTTTTGGCCATCATGTTTAATATAAGTTTTTACGATAACAAATGATAGAAAAATTAAAGTTTTAGTCTTAAAATGTTTTGTATATCTAATTTACAAAAAAAAAATGTTTTCAAAAGTACTTTTGGAGTTAGACAAGTAAATAAACCTCTTATTTAACTCTTATATTTCCAACATAACGACGCTTCTCGGCAATTGATTATATATCACAGAACTCAAAAGCAGAATAAAATTCAAAATTAAAGCAATCAATGTCAATTCCAGACCCTTTGTTGGTTAAAAAAAAAAAAAGGTAATCCAGATCCCTTTGAAACCTCAGATAAAAGAATTAAGCAACGTAACTTGACATCAAATTCAATAGTTCCAAACCAGAAAAAGATGAAGGGGGAAATTAAAGCAGGAATCATTAATTACTTGCTTCCCTTTTTTTTTTATTTCAAAATCAGATGAGCGTTGGCTAGCTCACGACAAATCAAACAATTAATTAATAAAGCACAAGTTGTATAACTCACCGTGACTTTCTCCAACTATAACTCAGATTCAACAGCTTCAAATTCGGAAACCACTCTGCAAAAGTTGAGTGCCAAGCTGCTAGCTAGATAGCTGCCGGAGAGCAATGAATAAGAGAATTCATGAATATTGAAGGAAAGAGGAATTTGAATTGAAGTTCATAAATCAGAAAATATGGATGAGGGTGGGATAATTGTGGTACTTACATACCAAGAAGCGATCTGATGAGGCGTTGTCTCAGCTCAAGCACTGACCTTTGTTGGAAGAGTAAAGAACCGTAGAGAATGAAGAGGTCAATGTATATAGGTCCCTTCTTATTAGTTTAATTTGAGTTTGTTTTATGATTTAATGTATTTTTTTTATTTTACCCTTAATTATTTATTCAATCTCTTTTGTCATATTTTTTCTTATCGTATTTCTCCACACATTCTTTTTCGTCTTTTTTTCATGTATCATATGGATATATTTAGAAACAAAAATATTTTTCTAATCTATTTATTGTTTTTCACTAATCTTATCTAATTGTTCCTTATCCACGAATTTTTGAAGGTCATAATAAAGATATGGATCGAGATAAATAATTGGAAATTTCGATGCATCTTCCATTGTCTTATTCATGAACCCCCTTTATAAACTTGTGATAATTTCCGTTTATTTTCCATCGTCTTATTTATTACTCCCTCCATTTCTTATTATAAGAGACATTTGATGCTTATGATATGTTTCTATATATAAGAGACACTTAAAAGTTATCTCTACTTTTTGGTGTTGATTTCCTATTTTACCCATATTTATTGTCTCCAACTCACACTCTCTCTCCCTCCCACTTCTCTTTCTTTTAATAATTTAATTGTTTTCTCTCATGCTCTCTCTCCTTATTAATGAAGGCATTTTTGGAAAGAAAATTATGCTTTTTACATATTGATTGTTCTTAACTAATTTTAACTTTTTTTTATCAACGTAATTCGGTTATTCGTCTCTTATAATAAGGAACGGAGAGAGTACTAACCTTCATTATGAGAATCTGAAAATTTCCACGCCTCTTCCGTTATCTTATTCGTTGACTTTCTTTATGGGTATATGGAAACGGCCACGCATCTTCTATCATCTTAGGTAGTGTGCTTCCACTGTCTCTGCCGTCGGTGCTCATTAGTAAGGAGGAGTATGGTGTTTATTGCTCCGTCAGATTACTCATGTTCGATTCATCTTGAACAACTTAATTTAATTTTCTGATTAAAGTCATTATTATTTTTCATGTTGAAAATTAAAATATATATGATTTTATATTATTTTTTAAACAAAATAATTTTAAAATGAACATTAAAACATAAAATATGACTGAGACCATATAATTTTAATTTAAACGATTGATATGAACAAAATACGCACAATAAGTATTAATGATGAACCCGCTCCACATGTTTTTATCTAGGTTAAATTACATAGATTTTCTATAAGTTTTTGTTCCATTTATATAAATTTCTTATTGAAATTTGATATAAATATTTCTTTAATTTGTTTAGGTACGAAATTTATTTATCAGATTTTCATTAAAACCTACGCAAGCTTAAAGTTTAAAATAGTCGGAAGACGATGCAAGTAACTTTCCTCTTTTTTTATACAACTTGAAGTTGAAATATATAAATTTATTTGTCATATATCAATTTCTTAGGCTTCGTTTGGATTACCGTCTGAAACGCTAAACGGCCCTAGGAAATTGTGAAACGGAGGTTTGCATCTGAATTGAGCCAAAATGATTGTTTGGCTGGGACAATTAACGCAACCAGCTTCTGAACCAAATGGTAAACGTTTCCAACGCAGCTGGGAGTTACTTTTGGAGAGTTTGAAACTGAGATATACCGTTATGGAGCATTAATTGCATCTGAAAAATATGACCTACCAGTATTAACCCTCACTCCATTTCCCCTCCCCCGAACGGCCGAACCCACCTTCATTTCCATTTCAGGTCACTCCCTCCGTCCGTAGAGCTCACCCCCAGGCTTTCATCTTCACCGTGACCGGCTGCTCTCCCTCCGTCCCTCTCGCCGGCGCTTCTCCGTCCGTGACTGTCACCGGTGATTCTCCCTCCTTCAGTCTCTCCATTTTCTCCCACACGGCCGAGCGTTCTCCCCTGCTCTTCTCTCTCACGCTCTCCCGTGTTCTTCTTCCATTTCAGGTGGTCCTCCGGTTGTTCGACCGAGCTCGCAATTTCGTTTGCTGTTGGATGTGCCAGAGATTCGCCGGAGTCGATTTGCTGCAGATCGGTGTGGTCTTCTCCCAGATCTTCATTTCATCCTCAGTTTTTTAGTTTCACCGGATCTGTTGAGCTTCACCGTGCTTCCCGTAGATCCAGCCATCTCTGCTCCATTTGATTTCTGCTAGTCGATTTACCGTGGCTGCCTCAACTCGGACGCAAGTCTTCAACTCTGTTCTGCTCCACTCGATTTACCGTGTCCATTGAAGTCGGCACTTCTCCCTCCGTCACTCTCTTCTGCTTGGGGCTGGTTGAAGGTCTTCAACTCGCAGCTCCAATTCGCAAGTAAGGTCACCGTGTCTGATGCATATATACATATATATATTTGAGCTGGACTAATTGTTGTTCCAATTCAGCTCCAATTCGCAGCTCCAATTATGTTTGAGTTCTGATTGTTGTTCTCCTTTTCGTTTAGATACACTGTGAAAGCAGAGGGAAGTTTTGTGCCTTTCGATTGCTACTGCTTCTGTCCGTTTAGCTTCACCCTGCGTCTGCGTCGAACTTGTCTGCTCCTCTGACATTGGTTTGTGGTTTTAATTCTCTTGTAGTATCTGATGAATTTGCCCATTTTTGATTAACCTTGAATGTGATGAATTTGCCATCTGTGATGAATTTGCTTCACGTACAATGACTCGGTGCTACTGCTTCTCTACGTTTGCCTGTGTTGTTTGTGCTGTTAGGAGCCATTGTAGGAATATAATTCAATCTTGAATGTCATATTTGTGACCGGGGTTTAACATCGAATTTGGTTTCCTTTTTCAGAATATAAAATAGTTTTTTTTTTCTAATTTGTTTTAGCATGTTGTAAATTCTGTTATTTTCAAAATATCATTCTTAAGAATATGTGAGACTTATTATTTAGGGGTTTCATTTAGAATTTTGTGATCTTGGTGAAGAGGGATGTGGTTAGGTTGCCCTATGGTGAATAAAGTGGATAAGATATATAAACATTATTACTTTAAAAATGTATTGATTGATTGCTTCTAAACAGAAAGTTTAGGCACTGTTAATTGTGGGTTTATTCCTGTGTGTTACTGCTTGATTCTAAACTTATTGTGGATTTGATACATTTTTAATTTCATCAAGAACAATGAGTAACGATAGAGGCAAAGCGCATTGGGATGTAAGCACTACTGGTGTTTTTCTCAAAATATGCGTGGACACAATTTATAGCAAACATCGTCAAGGATCCTCGTTTACAAAGCAAGGCTGGGACATCATTCACAAAACATTCAATGAAAAGACAGGGAGAGGATATGAGAAAAGACAACTGAAAAATAGGTTGGATAACTTAAGAAAAGAGTGGAAGGCATTTGAGCAGCTAATTGGTAAGGAGACCGGTATAGGGTGGGACCCTGAAAGGAACACAGTGGTGGCATCTGATGAGTGGTGGGAGAGAAAGAAGCGGGTATGAACTAGCTTCTGTTAATTTTTAAGCAGTTAATGACTTTTGAAAATAATTTAACTTTTGTTTACTTTTGGCTTTGCAGGAAAATCCAGCATACGAAAAGTTTAGGCAGCATGGGTTAAAGTTCCGGACTGAATTGGAAACTATATTCAAGGGCACTATGGCATCAGGACAGGATATGTGGTCACCTTCTTCGACCCAGCCTGAGCCACAGAGGGCTGATCAGCCAAATGATTACCGACCCACAATGGATTGGGAAGAAGGTTCAGGGGATAGTGAAGACGGGCTGATAGGTGTTGACACTGGACGCCGTGCAGGAGTTTCGGATGATTTGGACGGTATAAATTTAACTGCAAACACATCAAACACTGCACCCAATATACCTAGTGGTTCAGGGAGCCAAGGAAAGAGGAAGAGAGGTGGAGGGTTGGATAAATACAAGAAGCAAAAAATGCCAGCGACAAAAAGAATAGCAGATGCAGTAAGCTCGATTGAGAAGGCTTCCATTAGTACAGCAGCGGCAATAAACAAAATCTCCAATAGTGATAACACTACTGAGCTGACTGCTGATTTGTTGAGTATGGAGGAAATTGTCAATGACACTCATC